GGGTAGATCCAAAAACAGGTACTCCAGGGTGAATATTCAAAGGTGAACATGTATGATTGTGGAAGATCAGACTGGCTTGGCTAATAGATGGATCAGTTACGTCATCCCCTATCTGTTCCTTAATCTATTCCAGAGAAAGCTGAACCAGTGACTGGTGTGAATGCTAATACTCCAAGCAGTGAACTAGTAGCCTTGGCTCCTGCCCCATCCGCACCCCCTCCTACACTAGCCATGGTGTCCAGACAAACGGGTGACTCAAAACCTCCACAGGCCATCGTGAAGCCCCAGATTCTCACCCACATCATTGAAGGCTTCGTTATCCAGGAAGGAGCAGAGCCTTTCCCGGTGAGGGCAGGGCCATAAGGTGGGACTTTCAAGTGGGGACTTGGTCTGATTATTATCTTTCCAAAGTCCACTAAAATCAAGTCTCAGAACCATTTAATTATTAGAGAATGGTTCAGTTCTATTGTTTGTATGGTTAATTGTAAAGAAGGAAGGGAAGGGGGAAAGGAAAGAATATGTGTAGACCAGCAAATGAAAGTGTTGGGAAGAGAAGGAAGAAGCTAAATGTTTAGTTACACAAACTAGGCTGTATTATAATGAAGGGATTTGTGGTAGAGAAGTTAAGGGACTTTTCTAGATACCAGGAGTTGCAGAACTAGGACTAGAACAACAGGTATCTGCAACTTCGGAAGGAAAAGGACAAGCTAGACAGCCAAGGTAGGAACCTGTTTTCCAGTGGTTCATCTGAAAAGAGCCAGTTAGGGCCTCTTGATTGCCATGTTGAAAAATATTTCTCTAAACCAGACTTGGCCATTAACTCCGAGAACCAGGCAAAGGCATGGCGGTGAGAAATACTGGGGAAAGTTATAGAGAAACAGAAAGGGACTAGGCTAACCTAACTAAACTTTTTCTGGCACAGGTGGGTTGTTCTCAGTTACTGAAAGAGTCTGAGAAGCCACTACAGACTGGCCTCCCGACAGGGCTGAATGAGAATCAGTCAGGGGGCCCCTTGGGAGGGGACAGCCCATCTGCTGGTAAGTATTTATTTAGAGACCCATCTGGGGAAGGAGACTCAGGGAGATTTGTTTGAGGACTCAGTGTAAAATGGCAGTTATTTAAAGTGGGAGGTATACAAAGTACATCCACACACAGGAACTGTATTAAATATCAGAATGTGTAGAATCACACAAAGGAGTTCCCTGTCGGATTAGGGTAATTTTATCAAGGCAACCTGAATTTTATTTACTTGTTTACTGTAAGGGTGTATTTTTCAAAAGATGATCTAAAATAGTATATTTCTTAATTTCCATTTCTCCTTATTCTAGGTTTTATAATCTATATTAAGGTCTCTTGTTTACATTTCTCCCACTGCTTTTTTTTTTTTTTAAGATTTTATTTATTTGACAGAGAGAGACACAGCGAGAGAAGGAACACAAGCAGGGGGAATGGGAGAGGGAGAAGCAGGCTCCCCACTGAGCAAGGAGCCCGATGTGGGGCTTGATCCCAGCTGGGATCATGACCTGAGCCGAAGGCAGACGCTTAACGACTGAGCCATCCAGGCGCCCCTCTCCCACTGCTTTTGTAAACTTTTATTGGGAGAGGGATCCTGTATCTTTCTAGTTAGTAATTAGTTCCTCTCTCCTATTCTGAATTGCAGTCTTGTCTGCAGTCTGAGTATAAATTGGGATAAAGTTAGTCATCGAAAATGGAAACTAGGCTGGTTTAAGTCAGGAAGACCATGCTGTTCTTGAGGGACGTGTCTTTATGGTTTTGGATTTTGAGCTTTATGTTTGAGGGATTCTGAATTAGGTTGTGTAGGTCTTGGGGGGCAAACCCTGAGAGTAATTAGAGTCAGCTGTGGGCCTAATGATGGCCCGAGCAGCAGCAGTCCCAGTGACAAGTCTCCAGGGATGCCTTGTTTTCCAGAGCTAGATAAGAAGGCAAATCTCCTGAAGTGTGAGTACTGCGGAAAGTATGCTCCTGCTGAGCAGTTTCGAGGCTCCAAGAGGTTCTGCTCAATGACCTGTGCTAAGAGGTACCATGGGCACCCACCCTCCCTTCCTCACTTTCAGCATCAGTTTCTCCATCTAATAGTGGGCCCCTTCCCTAGGATCACCTCACAGCTGATGTTTCCTGTCTTCTTTGCTTTCTTGTTCTTCCCCAAGTTGGTTTTTAAAATACCAGTTCCCACGTAGTGGAGGCTAGCCAGGTGGTCTTCTCTGGCACTGCTGACATCCCATATATGCCCCGACCCGTAGGTATAATGTGAGCTGTAGTCACCAGTTCCGGCTGAAGAGGAAAAAAATGAAAGAGTTCCAAGAAGCCAACTACGCTCGCGTTCGTCGGCGCGGACCCCGCCGTAGCTCCTCTGACATTGCCCGTGCCAAAATCCAGGGCAAGCGCCACCGGGTGAGCGTCTGTTGCAGAGCCAGCTACTTTTAAAATGGTCCTTTTTCCTTCCTCTTTCCCTACGGGGCAGTTCCTTTCCCCGGTAAGAGTATGAGACCAGAACTCTTGAGTTTTGTATTGATGGCATTACTCCAAATTCCAAGAGATCCTGACTCCTTGTCTCTTCTCACCTGATTACTGGTTCATGTGTCCATTAATCATTACATATGACAAAATCTAGATTACGATTGTTGGAAGAAGGGGAGAATCAAGAAAGTGATAGTTTATACTTGAGAGTTACTTGAGAGTGGACTAGTGATTCCAGACACTTGCAAAGTACAGTTTCTTCACTGTAATACTAGTTTCTCCTCTATGCCTAGTATTAACCCGAACCCAGTTGACTGGGAAGGGGTGAGGGAAAGAAACCTTCCGACACTCATTCATGACCTCACTGCTTTGTGTTGTTCTCTGTAGGGTCAAGAGGACTCTAGCCGGGGTTCAGATAATTCCAGTTACGATGAAGCACTCTCTCCAACATCTCCTGGGCCTTTATCTGTGCGAACTGGGCATGGAGAACGTGACCTGGGGAACCCCAATACAGCGCCACCGACGCCGGAATTACATGGCATCAACCCTGTGTTCCTGTCCAGCAATCCCAGCCGTTGGAGTGTAGAAGAGGTGTATGAGTTTATCGCTTCTCTACAAGGTATTGAGGGCCTATCCAGTAGAACCCAGATCACATACAGGTTTACTTTTCTTTAGATTATCCCACATGGGCCTTTGTGACAGGGAAGAGAACTGACTTTTAAGCAGTAGGTGCTTAAGTATGGTTATGACAAAGGCTCTATTCTTCATATTTACCCAGGTTACTTGCCCACAGCCTGGTTTCTTAATTTCCTTTTGGGCTGATTGTCCTCTACTATGTCAGCAATCTTGCAATATTTGATTTTCACTATTTCTTACCAATAATTTTTGGATAAAGTATGTTTTTTATATGTGATTTTGTGATACCAGACATAGATGAAAGACTGTTTCCACTAAAGGGATTAGGAAAGTAGGGGCCATCGTTATCCAACACTCTTACAGGCAGGACTGTTTATAAGCTATTCTTGACAAAGGATGGTTTTCTTCAGAAAAGAAAATCACATTACCCTTTTTGCTGTTTGAATTCTCGGCCCTTAAACAAAGATGCCAGAAAGGCTCTGAACTTTGATTTTTTTGCTACTGTGAAAGAAAACATACGGTCTTGCTCCTTCCCTTTTCTCCCTCAAGCTATTTGAATGAAGTTACTTCTGTGATTGAACAACTTTTTCTTTCCTCTTAGCTTTTTTACATAGCCAGTTTCTCTGATTTCATTTTACTTTCAAAGCTTCCCACCTCAGACTTTTATATTCCTGAATTTAGGATGAGTACTTTGGGATTAACCACTGCTGGGTCTCCATTTTTTCTTGAGTTTCCCCCTCCGATCCTCTTGTGCCACCACATAGTTTCTCATATGTATTCCCACCATTTCCTTCTAGGCTGCCAAGAGATTGCAGAGGAGTTTCGTTCCCAGGAGATTGATGGACAGGCCCTTTTATTACTTAAAGAGGAACATCTTATGAGTGCCATGAACATCAAGTTGGGCCCTGCCCTCAAGATCTGCGCCAAGATAAACGTCCTCAAGGAGACCTAAGGTGGCCCTCTTGCACAAACGAGCCTAAGGCAGACACTCTCCACTGTCCAGGTTATAACCTGGTACCAGCAGACTTTACAGGGAAGAAAGAGCTGTTCCAGTTAAATCTTCTGAGACAGGGAAGAAAAGTGCAAGAATTGGTTGCTGGTGCTACATGGCGGCAGCTGTGACATTTTCTCTGGTTCTACCTTATTTTTTAAAATCATTACAGTTCTCACTTTTCTCACCTACCCTAATCTAATCTTTATAAAAGAAGCAGTCTAGAGAACTAGGACTGCTCAGCCTTATCCTGGAGTGGAGTATCTAGCCAGGGTCTCAGTTCTCCAAGAGGAGGAGTAGACAGTATGGTAAGGTAAGGAAGTGGGTGGGACGTAGGTGTGCCTCCACAACGGGAGAGGTAGGGTTTTTCTAGCTTGTGTGACACAAGTAGTGACATCTGGTACTCCCTCTCTTCCCTCTGGATTGCCCAACTGCGGCTGTGGCCCAGAGTTTTCTTTGTTGTCGCTCCCTTAGTACTGAACGTCTTCTCCTGCGCCTCCTGCGCCTCCGTGGCAGTGTCACTCGCTGGTGCAGAGACTTGGTTGGTGTCATTCTGATGTGCTGCAGGGGCTAAAAGGTGTGTGGCACACATGTGGCTGTCATTCTTTCTGCATCCCCCTGCTCCCTTCAGTTTCCCTGTTGTGTCTCCTACCCTGCCTTTCTTTTCAATTCCAACTCTGCTCTGTCCTATAGCTTTATTAAAACGGGAGTGTGTGGGGCTGAGGTCAGGAGTATAAGAACCTGCCTTAGGCGCTATTCCTTATACAACAAAAATATTAAATATTTTTTTCCTCCTCAGTAAAAGGATAAAAATTGGTCTCAGTTGTCTCTTACTCCATTCCAGTGTCTCTATCCTCTTCTTTCACACAAAAGACTAGGGCAAATTGTTTGTTTGTTTTTTTAATCTTTTACGTGTTTTTATACAAAAAATGTAGTTTTTTTTTTGCATTTTTAAAACTGTGGGGGAGGGATGCAAACAACAAAAAAGATGTTTTTATAACATTATTTTCCCTGTTTAGAAAAGAAGAAAAAAAAATCATTCCAATAGTATTTAAAAGTCCAAAGATGAAATAATTTCATTTTCTTCCCTAAAGGCTATTAAAAGCCCCTGCCTACTGATTCCATCCTCTTGTGTCCAGTGGAGCCATGTTACTCTTCAATGGCCCAGGTTCACTATTACAGAAAGATCGGGCCAGGCTTCTGGGCACATGGTCTAAACAAAAAAGTGGAAGCATCAGAGGATTCAAAACCTTTCCCCACAGAAACTGTTGTGGGCAAGAAGATACTTCCCTGAGCCAGAAGGGACAGGTACAGCAGCATTCCACACCCAGAGCACAGGATGGCAAAACCCTAGATGTCCCACCTCTGCTTTCATTCCCTTTCCAAAAGATTGAGGGGGGGAAAGGGGGGAAGTCGACATGCCTGTGAAGAAAGTGCAACATATTTAGAAATATGGGTAGAGGGAAACAGCTTAGAAGAAAAGCTTTGCCAGCTTTTACTGCAACTGGGAGAAGAAAGCCATTGAGGAGATCCCACTACAGGTAAACAGACTTCCTTTTCTGGAACCCCTGTAGCACAGGAGGTCCAATTCACTTTCCCTTTCCAATGGACTAGACTTCTGGATAAGGCGTTTTGGCCACATATGGACCAATGACCACGAGCCCACAATCCAGGGCCCAGTTCTGGCTATAAGGTCACTCCAATGCCAACAACTGATGTGATGGTATTTTATAATCCTCTAAGTGGGAAATTAAAACATTTTCCCCATCCTAATCCCAGAGGTGGGAGAAGCAAGTCTGCAATATCTCCAGGCTCAGACCAAATGGCAATACTTGGAATGCAACCAAGTAATCACCACAGAGTAGTTCCAAGCAGCAAAAAATTACATCCAGATTCTCATGGAAACTACTGCAGGGTACAGAGTAACAGCATAAAAGCAATCAAACCTTGTATAAATAATGTTTCTTTGCCCTTTTTTTTAAAGAAATCCAGTGTCTCAAAAACTTGTGAAAAGGTGTTTAAAAAAAAAGGAGCCTGCCACACTGTTTTTGCTCAATGTAACTATCCTACTTGTACCTTCTGATATCAAGAGATCGTGTGATAGCCTCTTCTGCACAGGCCCTATTTTCTCTCTCCTACAACTGTACTCTAGAGGAAAAACATAACAGGGAACAAAGGGAAGGCATTTCTACTAGTGAGAAGAGAATACAAATCAAAAGCAAACTGGAAAGCAAGAGCAATGTTAAGGGTGGGATGAGAGAACTGGAGTGGAGACTGCTTAAGAAATCTGGCTGAGTATGCTTTGGTTTGGGGGACGAGAAGCAGCTGGGTATTTAAAGTGCAATCACATTGGTAATAAATGATCATCCCTTTCTTCTGACTCCTCCCCCAGCTGATCATCCCCCACACCACGATATGCAGCAGGCACATTTCGGGGTTTAGAACGGCACACAAAGTCACAACCATCCTGCAGAAAGAAGCAAAGGAAGGAAATGATAATTTGGAATAACCAACTTCGAGGGTAAGGCAAATATGTACCTATGGTCTAAGAATATGACAAGAACTAGGTTTCTTCAAGGAAGATGAAGAGAAAATCCAGAAGCTCTAAGGATCAGCCTAAATTGAATTTAGGGCTAACGGGAGAAAAATTCTAATAAGGTCTTTCTTTCTCCCCATCCAGGTCCTTTAATAGCTTTATCATATTCCTCAATTTAAGCAACAGTGTTGCTCTTCCAGCCAGGTCTTTAGCAAGGCCAGACACTAAGATGTTACTTTATACCAGGGCCAACAAGTACTTTGTACTTGGTTTGCTGGGACTTCTGTGGGTTTAGCACCCAAGGTCCTACGTCCTTGGAAATCCCTCAGTCTGGGTAAACCAGGATGGTTGGTCACTCAACCTTGCCCGCAGGCTAGACTCAGCCAGCAGTCCTATTACTTACTGCTACCAGGTTGCCAAGATCTTGCCAGAAGGCTAAGTGGGGAAACTGCTCCATTCCCTTGGCTCCCACCACCAGTCGCTGGTACAGGAACCCCCCGATGATATAGACCGCAACCAGTGATGCAAACCTATGAGGAAGAAAAACATCTCTACTTAAAAACCAAGGAATACTAAAACTCTGATGATAAAGATAATCTTTATATTCATTAGTGGTTTCCCAGTCTGTATTCTATTAAAATGGGGGGGGGGAACCAAAACAGGGAGGGTACCTTCTTTAGAAAACCAATTAGAGCACTAGAAGCAAAGGCTCAGACAAAAATAAGACCTAGTGTGTGACTCTTAGAGCCAATAGGTACTATTAGCTATACAGTTCCATTTCTCCAAAAGTTCTTATAATCTAATGGGATAGTATTAAAAACTGTCCAGTCCTCCAGTAATGGGATAGAAAGCATTTCCAAATGCAAATATTTATCAGGGGTGAAACATTAGATCTAATTTTTTTAAGCTTGTATAGTCAAGAGTTTAAAGAGAATTTTCACAAAGTTTCCCACCTCCAATTATGGTACAGTGCGTGCACACACACAAACATGCAGAATTTTTGTCTAAATATCACCAAGTAATTGAGTTTAAGGGAAAGAAAAGGAAGGTTTGGATTGATAAAGGAAAAAGCACTCACGTGACTAGTAAGATAGAACCCACACTGAGGTGGGAGATCTCTGGGGAACAGGCCAGGCTGCTATCCATCTCAAAGAGGTAGAAACAATCTTGAACTTTGCCTCGCTCCTCAGACACAGGGTTAAAATTGCCCTGACGATGAAGGACAGAACACAACGCTTATGTGGTAAACTGTTTCCTTCTGACCCTTAGAAAAAGAAAAAACCCACAAGCTAAAAAAGCATTTGCTTTCTCTTGGTTCAATAACTTATTTTCCATGTATGACGGAAGACAGCTGCCTGTGACACAAGAAAAAACAACTTCTAGTTTTCTCCTATCCATCCCGATGTATCTTGTCCCCTCTGGAAATTCTCTCCCACCTCAGGCCAGTCCTGTCATCTGTTCTCTAGGCTCGTGTGCCCCAGGACGCCTCACCGCTAGCGTGTGTCGATTGCAGGAGATCATCACCACTGCACGACGCTGCTCCATGCCACAGTGACTGTCATATTCGTCACCCCCTTTATAGATCAGCATGATCCAATTACCTGAGGAGGGACAAGGGAAATGTTGCTTTGGGGTGGGGGGAAAAGCAGAGGCAGGCCTGGGTACAATGGTAGAAAGGCACTGAGGAGTTCAATGAAATTGGTCTTAATTAATATAACCAGTATCAATATGAGTTCTGTAGTACAGAAATACCAAGCTAAATCCTGCTTCTTTGTAACAGCTTTCTGTTCCCTTAAGACAACTAAGAATCAGATATTCATATAAGAATAATCCTAATTTTCCACATTAAAGGCAGGCAACCGATAGTACAAAAACAATTAGGACCCATACTCTGACACTGATTGACATTTTCTGAACACCTGCTAACATCAGAAGAGGTTCCATAAAATTCTTAGGTGGCAGAGCAAAACCTAAGATTTAAAATTAGCCACAGATAAATACAATATGGATGATTTTTAAGATCAGGAGCCATTTCTTCTTTAATATTTATGGCATTCAAATTTTTTTTGCAAAATATCCTTTGATTTATCAATCATGTGAGGTGAATAAGGTAAAAATTCTTCTAATCTTGCATATGAAGAAACACAAGAAGATGAAATGATTTTTCAAAGTCACAGGACAAGTAAACATGAGCTGGGTAAAAAATCCAGTCTTCCAATCCCTACCCCCAAACTCTTGATTTTTCATTATATTATTGATATGAACAAATATTTGCACTGGAAAATACAGTTATCTGCTTAAGGGAGGGAATCAGACCACAGGTGCTCATAGTTCTTTCTAGCAATATGATTTTATGACTTTTGAGAAACCTAATCACCATAGCACAAGTTGGTTGGGGAAGTTTTTGTAGACTGGTTTGCAAAAAAGCTTAATGTCTGAAAATGTAACTGGCAAAACTGGACTAATTCGATGAGAAATGGTCATTGTTGGTATTTTTAAGTCTGGTGTGAAAAACACATGAAGCTACAGAATCCCAGCTAGATTCTTCTTTATGCATGAGCTTTCATTAACTTTAAAACAAACACATAAAGGTCCTAAAGCCATGGCTCCAGAGGAACTGTGTTAGTCTCAGGTGAGCTGAAGCATATGTACCATATGATACTCGGAAGAGAATGGAAAAGGCCAACACATACAGGACTGCCAGAGGAATTGACATGGGATTAATCAACAGGGAGAGTCTTACTTCCATTGAAGATGTGAGTCTCGTTGAGTCTCCCTACCACTGTCTCCTTCCCGTTACTTTTGTTGATCTGCACCAGGCCTGCCCCAGAGGTGCGGTTGCCAGCTTCCCGGCACACCCTGAACATGTAGATGTATGTGTCTGGGCCCTGGCCCACAGTGCTCTCAAAGCTGTAAGGAGAAGTGAGGAGAACGAAGGAAGAATTACTGGCTATCAGCCTTAGGACAAGCAGCCTCTCTTCCTTTAAGCTGCCTCCCCACCCTCCCACCTCCCTGCCCACCCCCAAGTGTGATCAATTTATTTACCTGATGTCACAACTAAATGTACTAGTGAATAATATTTGTTGATCAAGAGATATCCATGTAACAGTGAATAGTTTATTTGTTGAATGAGACAATCCTAACTATTGATGATGACTGATTAAAACACAAGATCCAAGACAGCTAGATATTCTAGAATACCTGTTCTAGACCATGCTGAAGTGTCAGTTGCTATTTCCCCTTGAATAAGGATCTATGTTCATGGGAAGTATCCCATGGTCCCTTGTTCTTCAAAGAAGAACAGATTTATATACCTGAAGATTCCAAACACTTATGATGTGTATAGGCCTCATTGTTTATCTGATACTTCTAAAGTCCTATTATATGGAAGTACCAAATAATGCTTTTTAATTCCTACAAGGTGGTCTCCTGGATCCATTCTTGAAAACAGTTACTCTTCTACATAAGAGAATTGTACATTGCTACTAAAAACTGGGCTGAGAATTTGCTCTATAGCATAAAAAAAAGTAGGGGTGCTTGCGTGGCTCAGTAGGTTAGGCGTCCGACTCTTGATCTCATCTGGACCTCAGGGTTGTGGATTTGAGCCCTACACTGGACTCCACACTGGGCATGGAGCCTACTTAAAAAAAAAAATTAAAAAATGAAGATATCATGGCCAAATAAGACCAGTATTACTAAAGTTCAGATTAGAACTGAAGTTCAGATGGTTCTAATTCCCTCCACATAGAGTGGTAATACTAAAATAAAGTCAGTAAGTGGAGGGAAAAAAATAGTTTTTTAAGATTTTATTTATTTACTTATTTAAAAGATTTTATTTGACAGAGAGACACAGCGAGAGAGGGAACACAAGCAGGGGGACAGGGAGAAGCAGGCTTCCTGCGAAGCAGGGAGCCTGACGCAGGGCTCGATCCCAGGACCCTGGGATCATGACCTGAGCTGAAGGCACACGCTTAACGACTGAGCCACCCAGGCACCCCTGGATTTTATTTGTTTTAAAAGTGTCTCTACCCAATGTGGGATTCGAACTTACACCCCCAAGATCAAGAGTTGCATGCTTCACCAACGGAGCCAGCCAGGCGCCCTGGAGGTAAAGATTCTTTAACAAAGTTATTTTCTCAAGCCCTTCAAAGCTCTTCTCATTTACCTTTTGTTATACAGCGGTTGCAGCCTCTTCAGTAGAGCCAACTCTTTCTCGGACTCTCGACCTTTTTCTCCCACCAGGTCGCAGGTTTTTTCTTCTGTCTGCCAGGATTCTCTTACTACCACAGCTAGGAGCAGTGGCAGGAGCAGTCCAGTCCTCCAGCAGCTGTAGAAGGGGAACATCCTTTTGGGAGAGGGGGTGTGGGTGTTGAGGAAGCGGGGGAAGATCAGGAGAGGGGGGAAAGTGATGAAGCGCATGAATGTGTAATCTTTACAGTTTTATCTTCCATCCATCACTTATTTTACACTAGTCAGTTTTCCTCATTATCACAAAGTTGGGTTTTATTTTCTTGTGTCTATTTCAAGCTTTTAGCTTTCACTCATTATTTTCCCCCGTTCTTTAATATTCAGAATAGGATTCTTAATCTTTAGGTTTCTTTTTCTTTTTATTTATTTATTTTTAAAGATTTACTTATTTATTTTGAGAGAGAGAGTGCAAGCATCTTTACTGTTTTGTGAAAAGTTAGACTGCAATATCTCATTTAAAGTTTAATACTAGTTCATAAAAACTGCTTCAACCTGTGGTCCTCCCTAAGATGACAATGAAATTATAATACTTGATCAAGTCTAGTTGAAAGTTATTGAGAAAGATGTAAGATAGGGAAAGGGACTTCAGTACTTTGGGTCCTAACTTCTCCTATCAATAGTCAGGAGCATCCAACAGTCTTTGTTCATATTCACCGTAAGAAAGATGACTAGAGATAAACACAGCCATAGCACGTAAAAATTGACATTTATCTACTTTAATGGCTCATCTCAGAGCTGTCTTTGTACACTCAGAACTGGTAACAATTCTTGGGAATCACTAAGTCACTTTCCAATTCACCTGCTCCTTGTACTGCTCTAGGAATGGAAACACATCGCTCCATTTCCCAAACTCATTTTCTTTTCTCTAATCCATCCTCACACCCAGGACATATTGATTTACCCTTGCAAAAGACTCCACTCTGATGTCCATTAGTTAATGATCCCCCAGGCCATTGCTACTTGTTAATTTCATAACAGTGTCACTGTTATCATACACAGATTTACTTCTTCCAAACTTTTCTCACTTGTAATAACATGCTTCCAGCTACAAGCTTGGACTTTGGTTAATACTCTTTAAAGTCCTCTAATTCTTTTTCAGGCTGTTTCATCAACTCCCGTGCATTTCTAGAACATAAAACTAGGCAGAGTTTAATGGGTACTAGTAAGTTTAAAGATAGGAAAATGGAAGCTCTGAGCCCTGACTGAATTTTCTCTACTCCCCTAAACAAACTTACACTTGATCTTGTTTTCCACATTCCACTAGGGCAACAAATACTTGGGAAGTTGTCTCCCTGACTTTGTGTATTTCTTTTCTTTTTTTTTTTTAAGATTTTATTTATTTATTTGACAGAAAGAGACACAGCGAGAGAGGGAACACAAGCAGGGGGGAGTGGGAGAGGGAGAAGCAGACTCCTCATTGAGCACTGAGCCCTACACGGCCGATCCCAGGATGCTGGGATTATGACCTGAGCCGAAAGGCAGACACTTAACCGACTGAGCCACCCAGGCGCCTCAAATTTGGGTATTTCCAAAATCAACTCACTATAGGAATATTAATAAAGTCCACAGAATAATTATCGCGTCATAAAGTCTGAGGCCCCCATAAACACATTTAAAGCACTAATAGGAAACTTAATAGAGTGCTTGCCTTTTACTCTTAAAAGCACTGAACATGCATTAACTAATTAATCCTTACAAAAACGCTATGCAGTAAATACAATTATTGTCTTTATTTTACAGATGAGAAAACTGAGACACAGCCAGTGGAGTGACCCAGAAAGTCTGGCTCCGGAGCTCATGGTCTACACTTAACCACTACATGTGTATCCCCTTTCACATTAATTTTTGGGGGCTCAAGAGGAGGCAGCCAAAGCTTTCTTTTTGACAAAGCAGGGGGGAAGTGACTCCTCACACAGTTCACCAAAAAGGAGGTGGAATAAAGAACTCAAACCTCAAACTCCTACCTTCCCTAAATTAACTCATTGCTCAACACACTATGTGACCAGCTGCGTTCCTAAAAAAGTATTAAGAGATTCCTTTTATTAGATTGATTTAACATGCCATATTCTTTATATTCTCTTCAGGGTCTAATTTAAAATTTCAACATTCTGGATTTTCAAGCTCCCCCACACCCCCAGAACCAGTTTTCTGGAGGGGATGCTCACACAGAAGGCTGTGTTGTATGGCCTCAAAATTAGTTCCTTATTTGTTAACAGTTGATGATTTCTTTTCCCAAATTAGAACAAAGAATCTTACAAAACTGGGATAGGATAAAGGGTTAAACACCCTGCTGTCTGCATTAATGGAGCTGAACCATCTTTCATTTGCTTATTGGTTCAAGAAGTTAGGATGAGAATCAACTTATAGTCTTCTCTTTTCTGCTCAAGGTTTGTCGGTTTTGAGCTACTTCTTTTTGATTCAGTGGCAAATGCTCTAAGTGCTTTATCTATTAGGTTAATCTTCACAGCCCAGAAAAGTAGGTATAATTTCTCTCATTTTACAGATGAGAAAACTGATGCTTATAGAGGTTAAATTATTTGCCCTAGGTCATACAAGTATTAAACACGTATGAAGTTGGTGGGGCAAGTTGGAGGATTCATGGCATAAAACTATTTTCTGGAAAATTTCTGATAAATACAGGGGTGCAAAAATTTATTAGGGAGAGTATGAAATCCAAGGGCTGTGTAGTTCCCTTTTCATATGCTACAATTAGATCCTCAAGGTGCAATAGTTTGTCCAGATACTTTGGAAATAAAGGGCAGGACTTTAAGATTTTGAAAAATCCCCTTCAATTTTCTTGTTCTAGGACAGATCTAGTTTGGTAATGCCAAACAATTCTCTACAATGGGATGACCCATGACTAAGCCAGAAATTGGGAAGCAGTTCACATCACTGGGCGTCTGTACCACTCTTTCCCACCCCTCAAGACTAGCCATGAGCATTTTCCATTTTTCAGTGGAATTTCTACTTTCCGCTATCTGGCTCATTCCTGAGGTAGCGGCTCTTATCTCCTGTCTCCAGCAGCCTACCCTTTTATAGAAGACCAGCCCTAACTAGCTAAACGGCCCAATGCTGAAAAGCCTTAGAGAAGTAGCTCTAGGTCCCATGGGCGGAAGCTCCCCACAAAAAGAAAACACTAGATAAGCTCTCTAGTAGCTACTCCATACCATACACGCATCCCCTTCAAACTTCTCCCAGGGTTCTAGAAATTCTCATTCCGTCTAATCTCCTGACTTTCCAACTGCCTAGGGCCGTATCCCCTCTCCAAATGATGCCACTATACCTTCCTTCACGATGCAGGTCAAAAATTCCCTCTACAGGTATCCAGTAACACCTCAAACGACTCCATACCCAGGGTCCTTCCTTTCTCTGCCTTCCAAACACACGTCGATTCCCTCTCCAGTCTTGGTAGGTCTTTTCTTCCCTCACTCCCTTTGCAACTCTAACTCCCCGCCCTCACGCCTCCGCCTCCATTCTGCCCTAGGGCTCCTTAGCTGGAATTTTGGCTCGAACCCTGGCCAAAGGAGACTTAGGGATCCCAGCCCCTATTACGGACACCGAGGTGTGAGCGCTCTCCAGCTCCCCTCCTCCTCCACGCCCCTCATACTCACGTGTCACGGGCAAAGGGAGTAGCCAAGGCGCAGAATCCCCGGCTGAATACCTGTCTGGGTCTGGGAGACAGGGCCAGCGAGGGGCCAGCCGCAGACCCCGGACCCAGAACTCGTGTCAAAGCTTCCCCAAGGCGCCTCGTTGTGCTCCACTCCGAGAACCGGAAACAGGAAGCACCAGGCGTCCTCTGGACAACTGCTCCTCCCACTAGACCCCGCGGCATGTGACCACAGAACCATTTCGCCCCCTTCTCCTTCCCAGTCTCCTGGCCGATCCCAGACGCTGATTGGCCAGGGTCCTGGCCATGTAGCTCCGCCCCCGTCCTATAAACTCCAATCACTATCGACATTTTCAAGCTGAGTTCCACCTTTTCGGGTCTCCTTTTCTACCAATGGAGTCCCAGAGTCCCGCCCCCGAGCTTCTCCTCTCGAAGAGTCACGCGCGGTCACGCAGGGTCACACGCAATCACGCGCCAGGCCCGCTCCCCGGTAGGTCCCCCTGAAGACGGTGCGCGAGGGCGGGCGGCGGAAGCGGAAATGTGAAAAGGGGACCTTGGGCTAGGCCTCAGTGGGAGCTGTAGTTCTCACCCCAGGTCTCTTCCTCTCCGTACTTCCCCAGCTCGTTTGCCGCCTGCGAGAGGCGCTGTTTCGCCGTCTGCCGGCCCCGAGTCGCGTTGTCTCCAGGGGATAGTGGACAGCGATTGGGTCGCGGTAGTCCGGGCTTTCTTAACGACACCTTTGTTATTTCTACAGTTTAGTACCTTGGGGTCTATTGTTACCGATACTGTTTTCGTTACCCTTGTCATCCCGGTCATTTTGGGTAAAACACTGCAACCAGCTCTGTTCACCAGGGGTTTCGTGGCATTTTGCGTGATGAGCACTCTGTAACCAATTCTGTTCACTCCATCCTGTCGGCATTTCTGGTGTCCTGGGGAAAGAGCAATTCACTTTTAGTTTTTCTGCCTTTGCCAAGATCCTTTGCGGTTTCCCTCAGGTCAGTCTTATTCGTCGCTTGCTGAAGTCCTGCGCGTTTCTGGAACTTCGTTCAGTTTTGTTCCTGTGACTTTCTGGATTAACTCTTCTCTAACTGCCCGCTTGTTGCCTCTACCTGGTTTTAGCCCGATTTCATTCTGCTTTGACTCCTACGTTGCTTTTGTGTGTGTTCCCCCCTCTTTTCACGGGTAGGGACTGGATTTTGATTTGTCCTCTCACCAGAGCTAGTACAATGTTTTGAGTCCAGTAATAACAGAAACTAATACGTGCATAGTTCTGTGGTGCCGGCACTGTTTTAAGTGCTTTAAATGAGTATTGATTCATTTAATCTTGACACTAACCTTGAATTTTAAAGCTGATGGTGGCTAAGTAACTTACTCTGGGTCCCACAGCTATTAAGTTTCGTTGTCAGTATTCAGGTTCCCTAACTTAGGTGTAAGTTATATAAGCATGTAGTCTTCTGAGTCCAAGCTCTCAAGCAATACTTGATGCTTACTGTATAGGATCCTGCATTTGTTTATTAATTGGTACATTCAGTTCAGCCAAGGTAGTTATCATGTCTGGGTTGGGTTTGAATGTGTTCTCAAGAAAAAAAAATTAAAAGATGAGTTTCTTTCTAATAATAATAATTTGTAATCAGGAAATACAGAGAACGCAAAACAAAAATCCAAAAACCCACCAAGAGGTTGTGTATTTCCTTCAGGAATATGTTATCCATTTCCTTTTTTTTTTTTTTTAAGATTTTATTTATTTATTTGAGAGAGAGAGAGAGCACAGAGGGAGAGGGAGAAGCAGGCTCTCTGCAGAGCAGAGAGCCCCATGTGGGGCTGGATCCCAAGACCCTGAGATCATGACCCCAGCGAAGGCAGACACCCAACTGACAGAGCCACACAGGTGCCCCTATCCATTATCTTTTAAAAAACATTTCATGTCATCAGATATTTCTCCATATCACTAACTTTACAAATAAACTTTTTAATGTTTGCATAATATTTAGATGTATGGATTGCTGCTTAAGCAATTCCATTAGAGTCAGGTATTTAAGTTATTTCTATTGAATTACTTTTATCAATTCATTCAACAGATTTTACTGAACAATTACACTGTTGCAGATTTTGGGGGATGCATCAGAGGAAAAAAAGACAAAAATCCCTTTTACAATGAGCTTTCATTCTAGAATTGATGTTCATTTGTTGGTGAATTCAAATTTTAACTTCAGAAATATTGCTTCTTGGTCATTGCCTAGAGTAGCATTGGGCTGGAGGGAAGGTAGGGTGCATGTTGGAAGTGGTGAAAGATCCAGCAATGCAGTTGAGCAGGATGAATAACTTGTCTTATGTAGTAGGAGTGAGAAGGAGGGAGAGACTTCCCTTTCCATACACTTATAAATAACCTGGGTTACTTCCCTGCTTTTCAGCCTTTAGTGCCTATTGTGGAAACTATATGTGCCAGGGACAAAAACCGAAATTAGCAGGGTTTTTTTGTCTTTCTGCTCTGTGTCTCTCTAGCCATATCATTAATAAGGACACCCTCCACATTGTACCCACACCTACACCCCCTTCCACAAATACAGTTGCTCACTTTGTTTAGAAAGCAGTTCTGTGACTTTTGTTCTAAAATCAAATGCTGAGGATCCCTCCTGTTTAGTATAAGCAGAGGAGGGGAAGGTGCTTGAAAGATCTAATCCCCCCCCTTTCGTCCATGGGGATATAGTCCAAGACCTTGAGAAACCACGAACAGTACCGAACTCTATATATACTGTATGTTTTTCTTATACATAACCTGTGATAAAGCTTAATTTATAAGTGAGGCACAGTGAGAGATTAACAACAATAATAATAAAATAGAACAATTATAACAACACGTGAATATGGTTGCTGTCAAAATATCTTAACTGTGCTGTACTCACCCTTCTTCTTGTGATGGTGTGGGATGATATGCCCACATGATGAAACGAAGTGAGGTGAATGACATAGGTATTGTGATTTAACGTTAGGTTGCTATTGACAGATAAGTCAGGAAGAGGATCATCTGCTTCCAGAATGTGGTTGACCTTGAGTAACTGAAATTACAGAAAGTGAAACTGGGTAGGGCAGACTACTGTATCCTGAATTCTTCCTTCAGTTCGTTGCTTTGATAATTTTCCCGGATCTGCTTTCTTCCTTAACTCTGAGCTGGGAGCTTGGTTGGGAATGGCTTTTTAAACCTCTCAGCAGCTTCCTTCTGTATGAGTTTTGTGTTACAGGTTTTGCTCTGGTTTCACTATCAAATCCTACCTGTTTACAATTTCTGATTTGCTCAGGGATCTTTTGAAATTTGTTTGGTAGTTTCTTAATCTTGTTATGCATGTATTCAATTTGCTATCTTGAACCCGATTTCAGTTTTGAACTTTTATTGATGCTTTCCTTTTAAGATGTTTAACATATTTCAAGGACTAAATATATTTTTTGTTTTTGGTAATTTTCAATTTTAATATAATTTAACATTTTTAGAATAGATGTAAGAATAGTAAAAAGAACTCTTGTATTCACCTTACCTGGATTTGCCAGTGGTTTACGAGTTGCCCCATTTGCTTTATTAGTCTCCCCTCTTCCTGTACGTACACACACACACACACACACACGCATGCACTCACGCACTAGTTTATTTTGAACAATTTGAAAGTTGCCCATTACTGTTAAGTATATTTGTATTTCCCAAGAATAAAGACATTCTCTTACCTCACCACAGTATAATCATCACAATTAGAAACTGTAACATTGGTAGAATATTATTACCTAATCCATGGCCCATATTCAGATTTCATTAATCGTCCCAGTAAATATGCTTTATAATTATTTCCCATTCCCCAACCACAGAAGCCAAGCAGGAGTCACACATTGCAGTTGTCATTTTTCTTTATCTTGTTTGTCCTTGAAATTTTGAAAAGTACAGGTCATTTAATTTGTAGAATGTCTCTCATTTTGGGTTTGTCTGATATTTCCTCATGATTATATTTAGGTATTTTGATAGGACTAAAAGAGAAGTGATGTGCCCTTATATCAGTCAGCATCCAATTAGAAGACAGATACCACACCAGTGATTTTAAGGAAAAATTTAATATAGACTTGTTTCTAGGAAAAAATAAGTACTAAGAGGGGGTAAACAAGGACTCTAGGTTATACAGAAGTTACACAGAAATAATAACTACAAAATGCAGCTACCACCTCTGGGCTGAAGAAGAGTTTGCAAGGAAGTATCTTAGAAACTTGAAGGAAGTGCTCACTTCCCCAGCCACAAGGTAGAGATTCAGACCTGTGAAGAGAGGGTGTAGTTCCTGCCACAGGAACAGGCAGCCCACTGATGTAACAGATAAATTGCTGGAGGCTGTGGGGTAGATGTTGAACTGCCAGTGGGAGCCTCCCTTTGTCATTTTGACATGTCCGCATCATTTTTTGAGCAAATTCTTTACTATGTTCCATGTTTATCTTGTATTTTAATTACCCTAGAATCAGTCATTTCTCCAAGGCAGCTTGTTCTTTTTAGTGAGAGAGTGGTGTTGAGAAACCAAGGTCTGATGACAAGGTGTGTTTGTTGCTACTTTTGGGTCAGTGCTTTAGTGCCTCTCAGCAGTTAGGAAATCTATATATTTTTTCAAGAGTGGGAAACCAGGATCCCATTATACTCAATATATTTATACATTTGTTCACACATAAGAAAAGACAGGAAGTAGTTTTATAACTGATAAACCATACCACTGTGTAAAGCAAGCCTACTAATTAGAGTTCAGTATTTGTTTAAAGTTTCATTTTTTTTGTTGGTGAGGTAAAATTTATAAATAATGAAATACGTGACCCTTAAGTATACAATTCAGTGAATCTTAACAATGCATCATAACTGTAACCACCCTGTAATCAAGTTTTAGTAGATTTTCATCACCCAAGAATATTTCCTCATGTCCCTTTCTAGTCCTGTCTAGTATTTCCATTACAGTGTTGCATAGAAATGATAAAATTAGACATCCTTGCTTTGCTCCTGGGATAAACCACACTTTGTAATGATGAATTGTCTCATGTTTTTCTGATTTTGATTTGCTGATTTTTTTCAAAGATCTTGATGTCTATATTCATTAATGTTGGAGTCTAATTTTTTCTTTTTTTCTTTTTAATTTTATTTATTTATTTGTTAGGGAGGGAGAGAGAGAGAGAGAGCACGGGAGAGCACAAGCAGGGGGAGCTGCAGGCAGAGGGAGAAGCAGGCTCCCCGCTGAGCAAGGAGCCCCTACACAGGACTCAATCCCAGGACCCTGGGATCATGACCTGAGCCGAAGGCAGAC